ATCCAGGCCATGCGACAGAAAAAACGCCTCACACCAACAAACTGGGGTCCGTTTGCACAGTCCGGGATGAGTTTTGTCCGTCAGCCTCATCTGTAAAGAGAATGTTTTCCGATGTTGAAAGAAGTCCCGAGCCGTTGGAGATCCTAGCCAAGAAGAGCAACGCAGCCTATAAGAGGTGCTACGAGATTCCAGAAGAGAGTACAAGGTTTCACACTGGCCTGACTGGAACATTTTCTTCAATCCAAATCGGCGACTTCATGGCCTCCACAGAGGGGTTTGGGTTAGCTGAAGAAAGGATCCCGAAGCGCTCCAGTCCCATCGCTGTGGCCAAGAGTCTGTTCTGTGAGCTGGAGGAGCCAACGGAGGACGTGTTTGAAGACGGAGCCAAAGACCTGTCACGTTCCAGTTTCACCTCACCACTCGCAGGGAACAGTGACATTTGCAGGAGCTTGAGCCTCGACTCCGACGGGTCCGTGCACGAAACGTCTCTCACTCTTGACAGCCGTGCGTCTCTCAAGCCAAGCAAGTCCTCCAAAAACAGGAGTTCTGCATCATTTGAGGAGCAAGAGGAAAATAAAGACTCATCCATCGCCGACTCCCTCCCGCGAACTCCATCTGCCGTTACTACTGGAACTCCCAAACTTGGTAACTTTGGCCAGCGAGGTGAATCCCATTGTTCCTTTCTTAACCGGCTCCCCGATCTGGCCTGCGGTGTCGCACAGTCCCCCTCATTCCTCAAGCCGAGAAACGTCGTAGCTTTCCGCAGCTACTGCAGCTCCATAAACCGCTCCAACATGTCAGGGGTGTCTCGATTTAGCATCGGGTCTGTTGAGGCTATGGATCTGTCCACAACAGCTTCTTGTCACTCTGCGTCTGGCGCTGCAACGCCCGTGCAGAAAAGACCCAACTCCAACAGCTCTCTCTATCAGGTCAGCATACAAGGACACTGTTCAAATTGTAGTCTTCTTAAACAGAGCCACGGTGTAGTGCAGCGGTAGAACTGCTCATTCAAAGTAGTTAGAATCAGTAACTTGTTTTTTAGCCTTAATATTACAGAGTTTGGACATTATGCCATCAACAC